GGACGGGGGCTTGCTCGTCTTTCCTATCAAATGTCTATTTGTTTCCTTGTTAAGAGACCAATAATTAATGGTGGGAATGGCTTTGGTACAGAAGCAAGATTGACAAGTTTTCAAAAAGCGAATGGTACTGCCTGTAGAAGTTTTAAAAAGTTTGCAGGACCAGATGGCTGCTCCAGCTCAGAAGCTGTTAAATTTGAAATTTTGGGCAGTTCTGGAGACTTAGAGAATCATCCCTTGCTGCAATCATTTCAAAGGCCCTAGTCACAACGAAAGTAACAGAGAGGAAGATTGGTAGACTTCCGAGGTTGAATTCTGGTTGCTTGGCGATTAAGGTAGCGAGTATTTTGCTGCATCATTGTTCTTTGGTAGAACGCCCATTTGAAAGTGGTGGAGCACTGCACGAGATGTGTAGGTTAGTTGCCGCAGTTGACTACTTCTGAGACCTAAGCAAGTGCCTAGTAGGAGTGTTGCGTATCTAAAGACCGACCAGGCACTTCACGCCATACTGCCTCTTCGCTGTCCAGCTGGTGTGGCAAGGAAGACGCACTTCCCAAAAGTTGGAGTCCACTGATAGCGCTACTTACCGCCTTTTAGAGATGAAGTGTATTAAAACGGTCTACGTTTGAATGGTGTGAAGTGGGACGCACTACTGTACACTTTTGTTACCAAAAGTGTGTAAAAAATTTTTATCCTTTCGGAAATCGATTTCACTACATATGAATAATTTACAATCACCTACAAGGCATCTTTGGGGAACTAGAGTTCATTTTACACGCAATAATACAATTAAACAATTAATTGTGCCTGTTACAGTCACTCGCAGCAAATTTAAGCATATCTCCCAGCGTAGTTATTGCGCCAGAGTTTACTTGAAGTTTACTTGACAAGTTACTTGAACTGCTCTAATGAAAGATGTATCTGAACTACCCCTCGTTTGATAGAGTATCCACCAAAATCAGGAACAACAGCAGTTCTCAGCTAGATAGTTGCTTCGATACCAATTAACCCGTAATCAAACTGATATCTTTAGGAATTTTAAAATCACTGAAGAACAATACAGAATTACTACAAAGAGGCAGCTGCAGTAGCAATTGCTATGCTCATACAGCATACGCCATACCAACAATATCTCGAGCAACTGCCTTCCCATCCTCGTCAGTCAATGAATCCTTAATTCGGTTGGCAATAGATACAACATCCAGAGATTTGGCCAGCTTCAAATCAGTGTAAAAAAATAAACCAGACTAGTACAAGTGTGATGGAACTTTCTAAAGCTCATAGAATTCTAAACGGAAGTAGCAGCACAATTATTACTAAAAATACCTTTATTATTGTCCTATCGCCCCACATTAGGGTTGCAAGGACTTGTAGAATTTGCAATTGCGTACTCTCTCTCCATATTCCGTAACGTTGAATATCCTTTAAGCCCTAAAACCAAAGAATATAAGAATTTATTTACAAAGCTTTAGAGTGAAACCCATAAAAGAGGTACTAGAAAGTCAGATCCATGACAACCGTCTAGAGAGGAAAAAAACCGAATTAGAATAGCACAAAAATCCCAATATAAACCTCAATTACAGCCTTAATGGCATCCTCTCTAGGACCGAGTTCTGCAACCCCGTCGTTTGTTTCCACACCTTGTAAAAGAAGGAAAGTGTAATTCGCTAAAGCCGCCGCGGCAGCAACCTTGAAAAAAAATAACACTATTATTCCAACACAGAAGATCCGAAATTACAGATGTCAATAATCTGTAAACTTTTAGAGGATTGCAAGTTCATTCATGATCAATCAATTCGTCTAACCACTGCAAGAACTAGTGAAGTTTTACAAAACACCCTTAAGAAATTTCATCCTCCAAAACGCCAAAACTTGATAAATTGAAGAATTTACATCTTAAAAACGAAAAAATTCCGTTAATCCCAGCGATCAGAAAATATTTACTATTAAAAACCGTATTATTTTTGAAAGGATGCGACTCCTTAAGCACCGAGTATATAGAGCACATTTAAGTTGACTGCGGCTGACACTCTTCAGTAAAAATGTTGTACTTTCCGACAGCAAAAGTACCAATCTTTTTTTTTTTTCGAAAACAGTAAAAAACAGATAAAAATGGATTAAAATTCAACTTTTTTTCACCCTCTTTGCTAAATAAACCGGCTATTGTCAGCCGATTGTCCAGTCGCGCGGTAGTCATTTAAGAACAGACTGTTCCTTTTAGCACAAAAAGGAACCGGGCAAATTAACATGCAAAAAGTTTTTGTGAAACATTTTAAAAAACGCATTAAGAAAAAAAACAGTGAACTGACTGATTCTCACCTGAAGAGCAGGTTTAGGATTAGCCAACTGTAACATAAGCATACATATGTTCGTTTTAATGTCAAACATGAGCATTTCCCTTCCCCACTGATGCGCAGTCGAATTCGCTATGGCACGGCAGACCAAAATTTTAATGGGGTCTCTTTGGGCAGTTAACTAAAAAGTTTTGTACTTAACGAGTAAAAGTAGCGTTTAGACCGACAAACTTAGAGAATAACAGTAACTTATCTCTATTAAGCTAAATTTAGAAATTTGACCTTCAAAAAATGAAATGATGGAAGAACAGTCACTAAAGATTTAAAACATTCAAAAGTTACCAACAGCGCGTTCAACTTCTCAATTGTCTTTGGACCTCTTGGAGAATTCCCATCCATTTCTTTCATACTACAGTAACATTTATTTAAATTACGATTAAGAAGCGCTAGTCGGAAAGCATCTAATACAGGCACCATTGCATCTAAAGCCAAAAATATTCTCAAATACTGCAAACAAAAAACGAACTTGATTACCGGTCAGACTCTACTCGCAAAAAAAGACTAACCCAAAGGCCAAGAAAGTCCCAAATCAATCGCCGAAACATGAACATCACGAACCTCGTAAATAACTTTTGATAATATTTCCTCCAGAGCGTTCACCTAACCAACAACAGCGTAAACAGAACAAAAATTCAACAAAAGAAAAAAGATTGGAAAAGAAAACTGATAATTAAGCTGCATATTAGAAAGCACCTGTTCTTGGCTGAGTCGAAGTTCGAGCTGCCCCTCATTTAATTCTTTTAACTTGGCAATCGCCTTTGGAGATGTTTGCTCTATGCCAAATTTAGTAAACGCTCGAATAGGAATCAATTCACTTCTTGGTTTGAGTGGGTCTGCAAATAAAAGTTTCGAGAAAGAAAAATAATTTTAACTACTTAAGCCACCTCCTCTTGATTCAGAAAATATTCTTCATATCTGTCGAAAAGATTAGCAAAATTATTGGTAAACCGTAGAAGAAGCAAGTAATCATCACAAAATCGTATCAAAAAAGTTGATAACGCAGTGGACAGTCAATAGTGTACCAATGATTAATAAGAATATAAAAAAATTAAAAAAAGACCGAGAGGAAGACTTGATTTAGGGAGGCACGCAGATGTTTTATCGACCCTGTAGGCCCCTGCTCCAGTAAATGGATCAAGTCCACCGGAAGGTCCTGGTTGGTCACCTGGGCCAGGTGGTATATAACGGCCACTTCCTGTGAATGGGTCTCCTCCTGCACCGTCTACCCCAACTGCATCATGAGGGATATACCTGTTTCCACCTGTAATTAACAGTAGCAGCTGATAGAAAGCAATCCTTTAGTACCTCATCAGAGCCTCTCTTGGAGAATTAGCTTTATGGCGATGAATAAACAACTCATCCAGCGTCAAAAAAATCCAAAACACCAAAAACTTTCCTGCAACCTCCACAATTAAAAAAGATGATGCTTGCTACCCATAAACTAAAGTCAATCCTTTAACCACAGTGAAATTCCAGGAGAAGCTGAATTGAAAAAGTTATCAAGAATAACTCCTAAAAAATGACTTCCAAATGGCCAATTTTGAAAGATCATTCGGTGAAAATCCAGTACGAAAAAAAGCTCTATTGAACTGCTAAAAAAGCATAACTTAGTGATGTTCAAACAGATTTAGAAAAAATCAGAAAACCGACTGTCACTAATAGGTGTTAAAACCAAAAAATTCTGCAAAATACCACACCTGTGAACGGGTCCGTGTAACCACTCGGTATTGCGTCAGAAAGACCTGGTACTTGCAACCGTAATAAGTTAGAAACCTAAAAAATTTAATGTTTAATTCTGCAATCCCAGTTCCTGAGAAAACAAGATACTCATTCGAATAAAAGGTATCTGTCAGGGAATAAAAGTGTACAAACTCTAAGATAGTTCCGTACAGTTACGCTACCGTACAATATGGGGAAGTATTATTGCCACTTATTCACCTAGAAACCTGAAAGTTCATTAAAAAACAACAATATTAGTAAAATTGTACTTTTCCAAGAAATTGTACAGGCAAATTGTTCTTTTCAACGAATCGTTGAGCAGCCCAATTCACGTCTTCACCTACATTGTACGTTAATTTCAAAACTCTTCCGTCCTCAGTAGTGACATCGAATACATAATCCCACTCCTAAAATAAAAGAAAAGCTCAGTGAGGAACAAGCGAAATCCACACTCCAACAACGAAGCCACCGGAATCACGAAAGATAAGCACCAGTCAACAAAAAAAAGTCAAGGTGTGAAAGTCAGCTGCAACCAGCGGGTTAAAAAATAACGGTAAAAATTAAGCTAAATAATCAAACAAAAACATTTAATAACCTTGCCGTCGACATTAACACGCTGTGGAGGTTGTGACGGACCATATTTTTTATTGACTGCGTGACGAGCTTCAGGAATATTTGTTTTTATGTATTCCACTATCTCATCCAAAAACGAAATCGGCAAATTATTTTCCTAAAACAAGAACAATCTCTCAAATTACCTTTCTCGATGAAGTAAAACACTGAAGCTATAAGTTCATATTTAATAAAATTTACTAACAGTAATAAAAGTTTGGGCCGCTTCCGCTGGGTCAGATCCTTTTTTGTACCTTAATTCCATATCAGGCTGCCCGTCTTCCAAACTGACTTTGATTTTCACAATTTCATGCTGCTACAAAACAGCAAATATAATCTGCTAATTCCAACAACAATTCTTGAACCCTCTTCCCTTCTAAACTCCTCAGAAACAATGTAATACCAGTAAAATAAATAGAAGTTCATCAAGTGTGAGTTTCAAAGTTCTTAATATCATTGACTCTTTTAAAAAGAAATCAAAAAACCTGAGACGCGCGCAAAGCCTCAGCAGCCGCAATTTTTTCAGTGACACCTGACTCAAAGGTTTCCAAAACCACTTTGTCAGCCATCCTATCTTTGTTAGTTGTAAAAACATATATCCTTCCATCACTGAAAAGACGCCAATTTACGGTAAAATTACAGAGCACAACAACCATCTGTTTACTCCAATCATGATATTAGGCTTACTCTGCACCTACAACTACATCACCATCACTTAAGCTATCGACTGCCCATATACTCTGAGTTGGAGTTTGGATAAGTTGGCTGTGCTCAAGTCCTTTCTTCTCGGTCATATTCCAAAACTCGATAAATCCACCTTCGCCAACGGTAACCACAATATCTGATCCAGATGATGATGGTAACACCTTCATACTGAAAAATTAAAAATGTTAACTGAAATGTAAAAGAAACGAAACATCATTGAGAAGACAGTGATACTTCAGACCTGTAAATGTATTCTCCTGTAAGGGAATTGAATTTGTTAATACAAACGCCAGCATCCAAATCCCATATCCTGATTGAAGAGTCATTAGAGGCAGAAATAAACCGATGTGCGTTTAATACTACTATAGACCGCACAACATCTTCATGACCTGGAGGTTTTGAAACTCTATGCAGAACACTTACAATTACATAACTTCTAAATAACTCTTCAAAAACTTTCAAATGAACTCCAAAAACATCTATAATCAAAAATTTTGTAGCAATACCTAAAAATGAATTTAATTCTAAGCCATTATTCCAATACTTGATTAGTGTGTCTGCAGAGCCTGTAAGATAAAAATCTGGCTTTTCAGGAATGGCTGCAACTGCCCAAACAGACATTTTATGTCCCGATAAAGTGATTTTCTGAAAGTAAAAAAAAAAGACGTTCACCAACAGTTATTAAGAAACAATCTGAAATTATAAACTGCAAAAAAGCAGTTAAAAGATTACGGCAAACCACTTAAAGTTATTATTTGGAAATACCACCTTCTCATTTCCTTCAGTCAAATCTGAGATCGACCAAACGTTGGCAGTACTATCCCACGAACCACTCAAAAGCTTACCATTCACAGAATCGACGCTCAAAATACATACTAAAACGAAGATCTTTATATATTTAATACAAATCGACTAAGTTATTCCGGAAAAAAACAAATGTTCAACAGCTTTTTACCCCACACACTTCATACTTTGTTCATATTGTTATCCAATCAAGAAAATAAATTACCATTCAGCTTATGCGCTTTGATAGTCTGAATCGGTTGGACGTCACCCAATGTATAAACCGCTATTGAACCATCTTTACGACCAACAAAAATAGTTGAACATCCAGCTGGTACTTGGTAAAAAGCAAGTGAATTGACAGCTAATTTATCACAGTGTTTTGTATTCTCGCCTTCTATATATCTCCCATCTTTCCTGAACAAATAAAGCAATTGAATTTAGAAGGCAAAAAAAATTAAAAAAAACGCCAATTGTAACAAAGAGGATCTTCTCCAAACTAATCTAATCATAAGTTGGTAACAGCAAAAGCGGATACTGATGAGTGTAAACCTTGTGACAAAGACCTTGACATTTTCGTCCCGGCTACCAGAAATAATTATCCCACTTGTTGTCGTGGCTAATGCTTTAACATCAGATTTATGAGCTTCAATAACTTGGCTAAGAGAAAACTGGGGCGCCAAATTGTTTTCCATGTCAACGTCTACCATCGTCCACTAAAAAAAAGAGCATTTTGGGAATCACTAGCAGAACACATGCATAAAGATGGTTATTCCTTGTTGCAACCGATATCAACTAACGCGTAATTCAGACACTATGTATAACTTAAGCACATACAACACTAAATTTCGAAATAAAATAACAAACGAAAAAAAAAGATGCAAAAAAAAAGAGCTCGCAACAAACACTGTTAAAACGAAAGTTGTAATCGATTAGAGAACCATGTTACTGAACAGTATTTTCGAGCTAAGTCTAGAAGTTTCCAAACCGAAAATGCATTGTTGCGTAAAAATAAAACGAAACCGTCTTTGCTGGCTGCTGAGTTATGCCAGTTTACTATCATCCTGCAAAATATGCACTTGAAATATAACTAAAATAAACTTTCCTTTTGAACATGTTTGACAGTTCGACTAAACAAACCATGAAAGAATCTATAAAACAAAATATTCTTTTTTTTTTTTCTTTTTGCAGCTACAAGCATATCGAAGAGTAAAAACTACATTTGTATTTGAACCCATAGTCTAAGAAGACATCTTAGTGTTGTTGCACAAAAAATTTGATCCACAATGCCGATCCGCCACAAATATACCTAAACAGCATTTTTTTTCTTTCTTTGGATTCGGCAGTAGTCTATAGGAAAAAATCAAAGTTCTTGTCAAACAAAGGAAGTATTCCCAAAAAGAAAAATTACATATAAAGAAAGTCATTTCATCAAAAGGAGTAATCAAAAAAAAACTTTGGATTCACGATACATACCACAGCTACTCCACTTTTTATTGACACCAAAACAGCAAAACTCTATGATGTGCACCCCCTCAAAAGCTTTGTTTCCAATCGAATTGTTTTAAACATCATTTCCAGTTTAAAACTACTATTCTGAAAGTTACTAACCCACTCAGATTAGCTTTCAAATTTTCGCTCTGACATAATCAGAAATGATTTGACCAAAAGAAATCATATACAAAGTTTTTGCCCTTGTTTAGGCCTCCAATTAAGACGGCACCAATTAATGAGCTGTTAAAAAGTAGTTAGAAGCAACTGATTCCGTTTTTGCTTCTCTTCTAATTTTGAACATTCCAGAACCTTTGCAGACTTACAGTAACAAACCCTCGATGCTCTTCCATTTGGACGAAAGCCATTTCCGGTGAACACTAAACTTGGAATTAATGTACAGGTTTCAGGGACTCTATTGAAAACATCCTGCTTTCAGTTATCTTCATGAGTACGGAACATGGTATTCTGGTGGATGAAGTAGGTGTAATGTTCTGAAAACCTCTAGAACTCTTTTTCTTGAGTTTTGTGGGTTAAGTGGGTTGACCGACTGATAAGAAAGCAAATGATTACTGAACGCCATTTACGTTTCCGAGCAACGGTACCATATAGCCGACAGTGTAAATAAGATATTTCCTTTCTAAGAGTGGAACTAAAGCCGTTGAATATCTGAAATCTTAATACTTCTTTTTTTGCACTAACAATACAGCTTAAGTAGGATCTTTTTGTTAACACGTAGTCTGTATTCTGCAATTTAAGATTGGTGAGTAATTTCTTCAGCTGTTCAATGCCTGTGAGTTTTCTACATACTTATATTTCGTATTCATTTGTTGTTTTTTGTTACCTTACCCTGTTAAACACGTCACATTGATGAAATTCTCAATTACGTGTAATTTAAAAATGGAATTTAAAAATTTAAAATTGCAAAAATTTGGACGCTTTTGCTTTCCTTTTGAAGGCTCCTGCATTCCTGATGCTTTTGAGGCACCTGAACCCTTTACTTGTAAAGGCGGCATAATGGACTGAAGTGATCGATCGCTTATCTTGTTCGCCTTGCAAAAGTTACTAATATTTTTCATTGGTTTGTTCAAAAAACTGGTATCCAGAAATATGCCGACATTTTTTGATTTAAACTTACCTCTTGTGAAGTCCAAAGGTCTTAACCAAAAAATAATATATTTGCCAACCAAAAGTAAAAGTACGGGCGATGTGCCTTCTTGTGTGCCGTGTCCCAAAAGGAACTTTTTAATATTTCCGCTTTGTTGTTGTCAGTGACGATGTAACAAACCCTTTAAAGGTCGTTAGAGCGCGATCGTGCATGATAAACAACGGTCCATAAGGCACGGTCTATGATCGTCTTCTAAAGAAAAGCCCTTGGAGGCTAGGCAGAAGGTCAGGCTATATCATGGCACCTCAGGCCAATATGAAAATGAAATCAGCTCATGAAAACACGTTCTTTCAGCGGTAAATAATGATGCCGTTGGGCAGTGTTTTTTCGAAAGGTTTTTTTTTACATTTCTTTTCATACGAGTCATGTCCGTAAACAGCTCTAAATTTCCATGCATTGATTCTGGATGCTTTCCTTTTTTTTTTTTTTTTGTGTGTGTGTTGATTGTTACAAATTAACTTTGGGGCTATAAACTGGTCAAGCAATACAAGTAATTGTGATTTGAAGCATCCGGCGTTACAAAAGCTCACCATTGAAGTTCTCATTAAAAATTGGTAATTTATATTCAGTAAAGTTTCAATCCTTTTAAGTCGTTTAGTGGTGTAAGCCGCCAAGCGACTGATTGGTGCCTACAGTAAGTATGCCAATTCAGAGCTACCTTTAGAACACGTAGAAAAATTGTTACGGTAGACGTTTCTTTGACTCAGAGATATGCTGGTTAGTTGAGACAATTGGATTTTATGACTTAAAAGTCTAAGAAAATATATTTTCATTATTTCAATTAACTGAAGGTGAAAAAAGTTCAGAAACAAAAGATAATTGCATTTATGGGCTGTTTACTCAACAATTTCTTATGATATCTTAATCAATTTTTGCCATTTTGTTTCAAGTGATTGCTTGATAAGGCAAGTATTGATACTGTAATATGAAATAATTTTTAAGAGGTTTGCTAATCTGTTATAATACAAACTGTAACTGCTCGTATTTCTATAGTTGTGGGAGAGTCCCTCAGTGAATATATAATTCAGCTTGTCTGCCCATGAAGAATAATACCCGTTGGGTTCGGTTGTTTAAGGGTTGCCGCTAACTGTCATAGACTGTCTGCCGTGCTAAGCTGGACCATCAGCCATTGAATTGTTTTCATTTCAAACACCACATGCCTGCACCAGTAAAATCAACTTGGACATAGTACATGCAAAAAAAAAAAAGTTTAAATGAAAGAATGTGCGACGAAGAATATAAAAGAAAAAATGGAGAATTAAACACAAGAGAAAATTCTAGTGTAGATAACAGGAAATAATAGTGTTTTGGATTCTCGCTTTATTATAGTTACATGGAAGGGGTACTATTGCAGTAGAGCTAGTTCTGATTGACTGCGGGTTGGTGAGAACCAGATAAGACTTCTCAAAGCCTCCCAGGTACAGTGTCTTGATATGAAGACTGTTGTAGATCTCGACATTATTGCTCCAACATTATTTAGGCTTGGAATTAAGTCTGCCTGCCTTATTTATTTATTTTTTCTCAAAGTCAATGTTCGTTCCTAATGAAGTATCGGACTTTCGCATATTAAATCCTCTTGCCTGTCACTTATTTGCCTAATTTTTAATTTTTTTTACTTTCACTTATATTCCATGTATAAAAAGTCTCGTTTTCTGAGCAGCGTTGTTCCGAAAGTTGCATTTAGTCCCAGTCTGAAATAATTTTTCATTCCACGCAAAATAAGGTTATTTGCAAATTAGTTTTATATTTTTAAATTTATAGTCCATCTGGTAAAGAAAGCAACTTGAAGAAAAAGGACATGAAGTTGTGTCTGAAATAGATCATCATTTTAAGCTGTATGCTCTGAGTCAGTGATTTTTTACTTGGTAAAAGCTCGCCAGTGTTCCGGTGAAAAATTAGCTTGAAAAAATTTTTTTCCAGTGCAAGCTGGAGGAACACCAAAGCGAAAAGTGTTTACATGCAGCTAAAAAAAAGGTGGCGTGAAATCGGCAGTCAATTGGAAACTATACCAGATGGAAGTACGGTGGAACTGTGTGGGGACTAAAGAGAGGTAAAGAAAGGAGAAGTGGGAAGAGCAGAACAAGCTTTAATTTCCGTTTACAAAAACTTTAATGACCAGCCACGATTAGAATCTAAAAAAGTTTAAGACATGACTGCACACTCGCCGTCAAGGTTCAAAGTGACTGAAAACTGTCTAATTCCTTCCGGTGTAATGAACAAGTTAATGCTCAATTTTGTCAAATTAGGGTTTAAAGGAGAGCAGTATGAAACGGAAAAAAAACGGTATATTGTCTGTACATTTTACAAGAGAATGCTGAAAAGCTGTTCTTGTAGGGTACTTTTAAAACAAAAGGCATTAGTGGACCGACTGTTCTAGCAGTAATCTGTCAGAAGTATACAAAATTTGAAATTGAGGTGTTACCGCCGCTGGGTAAATTGGCAAAATGTTGTAACTTTTTTCTGAAGAACAGAAGTGACCACAACGTATCACTTGACTAAATATCCAGTTCAAGAATGTTTGAGTTCTACAGCTTCCCTACTGAAAATACTGCGCCCCGTAGATGGAGCTTAATTTTGTACAATTATTTTATGTATTTAAACCGAAAGGCATTGAAGCAATATGACGATTGGAGAAAACAGCGCTAAAAAACTTCTCCCAGTAACGATGAAACCGTTCACAAAAAAATTCGTTTTTGGGTGAATTAAGCGTTTTAAGCTATCAAACACTATGTATAAAAAATTTTTTTGTGAAGCTGATAAAACTATCAATCATTTGCAACAATCAAGCTGTTCAAAGGACTATTTATTTGGAAGAGAGTCGCAAAATATCCTATAACATGGAACACATCATACTTGAATGCTTCTTTAATTTTCATGAGATGGAAAAATTGTGTTTCAGAGCTGCAGCTAATTATTGATCTTAGATTGATCCTCACTAAAAACTGCTCATTTAGGTTTAAAAAAAGTTTGCGGAGTTGGTTGCGATAGTATGGTCTTTAAAAAGCAGTTAAAGTGAAGATAAAATACCAATTCTTTTGAAACATATAGCCG